TAACTTAATGCCATCTATGAAAATCGGGCACGAACTTATGCTATATATATATATATATATATATAGAGAGAGAGAGAGAGAGAGAGAGAGAGAAAGAAAGAGAATGAGAGAAGAGCAGAGAGATGCAATCGAATCGATGAGAGCGATCGGGTGGACCGTATGGCGTCGTCTCGATCCACCGATTACCACCGGCATTGGCAAGCCAGTATTCGCTATATGCGGTAACGTCGTAACCGGTAACGGTACCGCACTTCTTCGATGGCGTTCGCCGGGCGGCCCCGCATCAACGTGAGATGTACTGTTATTCCAACTATGCAGAGGCTGTATGTATTCCCTCTTTGTCTAATTCTTCCACGGCTGCCTCTTCGCTCCTATGTTCGTCTCCTTTCCTCTTTACCTCCTTCGAGGCACCTAGCTCGCGATATTCTATTTGCATCTCTCTGTCGAGATGATATTTTTTTCTGATCAAAAGATTGGAATTTTTGTCCCATGAGAATAAATAATGAAAGTAATGACAATTTAGTAAATTGTTTTTGAGCTTCTTTGCTTAGTAAAATTTACCGTTTTTTCTACGTAATTTGATTGACATTATTTTCAAAATTAATGAATCATGTTTATATAACGGTATTAAATATGCTGAATGAATGTTAAATAACTACACGATTATAGCAAGATCATCGGTAACAATAAATCTTTGCGAACGCGCGTATAAAAATTATTAGAATTGTTTATCTAGAATAGGGCCTTACACCTCGCTACAACTAATTTCTGTGGCAATTTACTTTCGTTCGTGTATTGTTAGTCGTTGCAGCAGCGCCCGTAGACGAGTACATTGCCATTAATTTATGGCTAATGGTGAGAAAGTCGAGCTTTAGAGATACTGTCTGTGCGCTTAAGCTGTGCATTATCTTCGTTTTACCCGTATTACAAAATTATAGGCTGTTGCTAAATCGCTCGCGCACATTGACGGTCGTAGCGCTTTTTTAAGCAAAAAGATACATTTTTCTGCATTAAATATGTTCACCGTATCGGTTAAATTATTATAACATATATTTTTTTATTATATGTTACAATATTATAATATAAATTACATTTATATGTAAAAATGTTGCAAAGATTCTGCCTAGTAGGTTAATTGTATGAATATTATAAAACATGGAAAAACAATTATAATTAACTGTTTACATTAGATTACAGAGAAACGGAAAGACGCGACATATCCTTCAACCAGAAAATTTGCAAAATGAGCCATACGATGTTTCCGTCAAGATCGATTGAGATCCGTTATAGATAGAACTAGCATAATAACTATCGGTTTTATGCATCGCACACGATTACGGTCTTCTCGTAGGTATCGTTCAGTCAACAGCAGGTGGCATATGCTTCATAGCCGTACAATATTTTGCCTTAGCGGTAAGCCAATCTCTCATGAAGGCAATCTCGCATCTGTTGTTCATCTTTTGAAAATCACTGCGAGCACTGTACTTGAATCAAATAACTCTGTCGCGATTAGAGTAGTGCAATTTTACACCACTATTTTCATAGGGTCTAGTTTATCAAATCGATTGTTAATTTTTGTTCAATATTTGTCTCTGCAAACTGCATTTTATTTCTTACCATACCTATGCATATATTGCAAAATGGCATGTCGAATCGGTTAAGTATTTATTAGAAGCATTGGTTTCTAAAAAAAATATAGGCTACAATAATAATTTGAAGGAGAAGATATTAATAGTCTGACATTTTTATAATTAATATAAATTGATTTTTGCTCACACGCAGTAAAGAAAATATTATTAATTATTAAATTACTCTTGTAATTGTCGAATATGTCAACTGTACCATAAACTAATACTATTTATCTTTTATGCCAACAATTAAATCTTAAGCACTGTGTGTAAATCTGCTGGATGTCTTGGCGGTGACTCGGACTGCATAGGGCATTTAAAACCGTTTGAAAGGATTCATCCTAAGTGGAAGTATTGGCGGCTATCAATTTGTCACGCAGGCAGGTTTCGCAGCTGTTACCTCGCGCGTCTCTCCCTAGGCGCCGAGTTCCGCGTTTAAATGCCGCTTCTCCGTTAGCTAATTTTGAAACCACTTATAGCTCATAATCGCGTGTTACTTCTTCGCGTAAAGCATCGATACTGCATTCAAGCATCTACATTTGAAATAGAAAGTATTTGAAGCATTAAAAATAGAAAGTATTTTTGTGCGCTATCGAAAATCAAAAATAAAGATGTACATCTTTTGAAGCCTCAAATTATGAAGCATTGTTTTAAAAGATAGGTATTTTTAATGAATATATAAATTGTAGCGTTTTATATATTTCAAGATTAAAAGAGTATAGGATATAATATTTTTATTTTTTATCTCTCATGATATTTTTATTTTTTATCTCCCGACAATAAATATTAATAATCGCAACTGGCCACGAGCAAGCGCGCACATCACTCATTAAAGTCACCAAATATGCTGTTTCCAAGCGATGTAACCGTCGACATCTATCGGTGAGTGTAACAAAGTATATATATACATATATATCTCGTTTCTCCTTCTCGTGTAATACTTTTATCTCGTAAATTACCTCGTATCGGGTTTTTTAGGGCAGGGCCACACCAGACATTATTTCGGCCACGGCGCGGACCGCGTATTAATTTTCGCCGTACCATTACAAGTATACAAGATGACCGATGGTCCTCTGTATGCATCTCTCGTGCTCGTTAACCACGCGTATTCTCGACTTCCTTTTATATGCACTTGCTCCGAATCTCTCTCCTCCCCTCGTGTCTCTCCCGCCGATGTACCTTCGCAACCTTATTCGCGCGTTGCGGTTACTCCAGATTCGTGGCCACAGCCGCCGCGGTATGTTCGATGCAATTACACAGTCTGCTTCCTTCGAAAAGGAATGTTCGATGGACCCATTGTCACCAAGCAACGAGAGATGACGAAATGCAAATTTGCGAAGATAATTATTGAATAGCAAAAGAAACGTATAAATTAAGTAAATTTATATAAAACAACAAGATTGCATGTCTCTTTTTGTTAATCAGAAAATCTGCGGAGTTATCCATCATTTTTTGTTGTTGTTAAGAATACGTTTCTTTGTGTTAATATTTTGCGCAATATTTAAGAATGACAGAAATAAAGATATAAATAGTATTATTACGCGACTAGGTATAGGTAACGATGGTAGAAATTAATTGCATCGATGTTGTAATTGCCGTGCATAGGTGAGTACATATTACGCCGGCCATTGCGCGCTAAACGATCGTCCGTTATATTGGCACCTGCACCGTTACGAATTAATTTTGTACGAGATATTAGTCTCTCTAATAATTGGTCGGCGATCCGGGGGATTGTATGAGCATGCAATGGATTATTAAAAACCAATTTCGTCTTTGACCCGATTTCTTTACGTTCGTACGCTCGTATGATCGTACGCGACTAACTGTAAATTATAGAACTACCTTCTAACTGTAATTCGAGCTTTTAGTTCGAGCTCGCTAGGTTATCGCAGGAATTTAAGAATGTTAAGGTCATATACTATTACCAACTAAACAATGATTTGTGAAGGCCATCGAGTGCAATATTAAATGGTCAATAATAAAATTCAAAGCGATATACCGGTAATGAAATTCTGCAGCTGAAACAAAATATCGCCTTTATTATCGTATTATTATGCTTTTTCTCCTATAAAATTCGCGCGAAAACTTTGAATATATTATTTATTTCTGCCGAAATAAAGAAAAGGTGTAATACGATCATAAGATTTCAGGGATCGCTGATTTTATTAATTTATATAATTTTATGCTCTATTTTTTTTGTATGTTGATCGAGTTGAATCACAGATTCAAATGAGGGATGATTGACACGGATGTGGAATTGCGAGTGGAATTGATGTAAAATATTCAGCGATTAATCGACGGATTTATTTTTTTCAGTTAATGATATTTATTTGTGTTGCGATAAAACGCGTGTACAATATATTCACATGCGTATTTTTTTGCTTATGACATTAATCTAAGTGTACGCGTACACAAACGCGGCGGAATTAGCCCGCGGCGCACTTTCGTCGCGAAGGAAAAGCGCGGCTTACGCAACGTCATGTATTTTCGCATTTTCTCCAGCGGAGGAGATAATGCATCCTCATTCTTTGCCATTCGCCGTGTCCCGCGTGTGCATACCGTACGCAGTTATAAACATAATGAGTCTTCTTTCGCATTCTCGATGGCACATTCCTATCAGTGCTCGTCTCAGACGCGAGGGTTAATAAAATTAATGTGACAGGCGTCTTATGATCCCGCGGCGCAATCGTCTTTAAATAGACTGTTGGTTTCTGTGTGTACTCATAATCACGCACACACACATTTCATATATACTACATACACATCAATATCAATCGTCGAGTGAAATGACAATCTTTACTTCACTGCACGAAGCAACTATGCAATTTTTCATTTCACTGTGAAAAGCTGCAAGGTCGTGGAGTAGTACGCCGACATCCGGATGCCATTAGCATTCTTTCAAATGCGTTTCGTCCCCCTTAACTTAGCATCGTTCTTCCGGCAGTTGTACTCGGCCAACAACCGGCGGAAGGGCGATAAGAAGCAAAGAGAAGAACGATGCACTATTCCTCGGACATGCTCGTGTACCGCTACGTGTGTCCTCTCTTACGCGATCGACTGGTAATGCGGCTTGTCACGCGCGTATTATTTTAAAACCTAGACACACAATGAAGTAGAATACGCATTATGGACAATAATGCAACAAAAAGAGATTAAAGTAATGAGAATGAAAAAAAATAAATCCATTATTTTCAGTCTGTCGACTGTGCGTGTTTTTTGCCAAAATATATCATTTTTTAAATGTGTTATACTTATATGTTCTCCTCATTGTAAGCCATTCGTTTACCAAACGATAGATACAAAATAAATTTTAATATATTGTCACACACGGTTAGTACGTTATTACATCGGCATCCGGTACATTAGTTCGACTTGATAATTTGGCATACGAGCGCATCTAGAATCGACTTTATGGAAGACGGTTGATGATGATTGTCCGAATATACGGAGCGATAAATCGACACAGATAACTTTACGGTTACGTTATCTGAGGCTATAACTGTATCTACGATAATATTGGTAGTATTTATACTATTTATAGCGCCTTATATATATATATATATATATATATATATATATATATATATATATATATATATTAAAAGATATAATTTAAAAATATAAATATATATATATATTAATATTACAAGTTATAATTACAAATTATAAATTGTTTCTTACAAGAGGTTTATTATTATTCTATATATATAAGTACAATGGCTATATTCCGGCGAGGAAACGCTAGAATACACGAATAATGATATATTCCCAGCTTGGAAGTTTATTTGGAAATGTCAAACTTTTTCTCCTATCAAGAATGAAGGAAAATTGTAAAATCCCAAAATAGCACATGTTTCTAAAAAACATTGCATTATCTTTTGGACGTCTTTATGTTTTTTGGCCTTTTTGTCAGGATCTTTTTAGTACTTTTTTTCCATTAAAAATTTCAGTAATTACTATTACATTACCTATCGATGCAACATTTGAAAATATCTTTCACTTTTAATCTTATTATTTTCCATTCTAACAAGACAAAACTTCTTGTCTCATGTGACGAATCTATTTTAAGCTTCTTTCACCGACGCATTTCTTTTTCCTTTTTTTTTTAAATATGTTACAGTCTAATAATTCAGTAGTTTTTCTCATATACACAAAACATCCAGAGCGCAGACTTTCTTGGAGAATGTTGCCTAAGCTTTTAAATCCGACTTTCGACTCGTTCGGAAATAATCAAATGATTAAAAAGCATTTTTATCGTAGGAAAGAGCGCGCTCCATTTGAGCCACCAATCAAGGTGATTTGCATTCTACCGGTTGTTTGCTGCGATTCTGAAACTAGAGTATCGCGTATACGACGTTTGCGGTTAACCCTGAAAATTACACGGGGGAACGGAATGTAGTCAACGACGACGACAACGATGGAAAGGTTCGCGTGCATAGTGCATATAATGCACCGTAAGTGAAATAACGCGTCTCGTGTCCGAGCAAGCGTGATGTCCGGCGTTGAAATTTGCTTTAAAATTCTACCGTTCATTCGTACATGAAACTCGTTGAAAAATTTCAATAAAACATCTTATATTTTATTAGACCTTTTCTTTTTGTTTGTTGAATTCAACGAATTTTTAATAAAATGAATATATTTCGTGTTTGGCGAAAAATTTATATCTATAAATATGAATCTCTCCCGATGCATCTTTCTATTTGTGATCGTTACACGTGTCGACCAGAACTGAAACGCCGCCTGATATTTCTGCGCAATTTAATGATATATTTACTTAATTAACTTTGTCTGGCTTATTTGATAAATATTTTTATGTAGAAATGATCTATATACTCGTATCTATACTTGAATGCGCACTCACGAGATGTGCGGTCGGTTCATAAATATTTTATACTCACTTTCTACTTCAGCAACTACAGTAGCTACAACAATATAATGGTCCTCGCCATAGACAACGTACATTTTTATCAAGCGTCGCAACGTTGCTCGGAGGTCTGGGAAGAGCGCGATAAAAAAAGAACTGATTGTGAGAGAATTATGTTATAACCGCGTAGCAGCCTTGGCGAGGAAACAACGTGGTAACGATAGTCAGGTGACTAATAAAGTGTGCATCCTTCGCGCGCGCGTTTGTGTACAACCGGCATGCACGATAATAATCAGTGACGTGGGATTCATATTTGTTTCCAAGCGATTGTCGCTTTTGAATTTTTAAACGCCTTTTTTTACAGTTAGATAATTGATCGTCGGATAATTGACTGTAATTTAATCTGACGATACTTAATCGCTCGTTAAGCACGTAATCAGGAATATGACTTACGGCTCTTTTTCTCCAGCAATATAGGCTATAAAAGAAACGTTCTCTAAAGAAATGCTGCCTGCAGTTTTCCGATTTGCATAATACTTCCGCCGTGAACAAGTCAGCGATGACGCATTAACGATGCCTACGTGTCGTTGTAACTTTCTGTTCGAAGGCACGCGTCGTTTAAATATCGACAATGCCACCTTTTATAAGACTGCATCGTTGACTATAATTCTGAATCTATACACGAATATTATTTTTTCAATCGAATACTAACTCGGAACGACAAAAATGTGTCGATTATGCAATGCATTCGTTGAAAGCCCAAAGGTGATTTACATAAGATTATTTTCGTTTCTACTGTTTTTTTTATCGCTTACGAAAGAGAGAAATGTCGCAAATATATTATTAAAGTTATTTCCAATACAATTTTAAATACAAATTTTCAATCTCTCGTAAAAGTTACAAGACTTAATTTTAATTATTAATTTTTTTGTTTGTACATTCTTTGTCGATATTTTTCTGCGTAACGCCTATCATTATACCGCTCGGAGAAATTTGCGGTGAAAGGTGAAACCTTTTTTTATCATTCATAATCGACGCGCTTGGTGACGTACCGATCGAAGAAGAAACGCTCTTCTGAGCAGCATTTGAATGCTATGTACTAGTTGCATAATGACGAATAATTGTTTTTACGTACTTTCTGACTAGACTATTCATTGAATAACATGCACATGAATTATTCAGAATCTTCGCAGCGCGTCATTTATATTTTTAAACGATATTTTAAACTGAAGAAACTAAAACCGCGACGTTGGCAAAATTAGAATATTCGGAGTTTCAAGGATTCGGCATTAGGATATGACAGAATTTACGTAATCGCAGCACAAGGCGATTAAAACAAAAGTGTTAATTATAGCGTAGCGACTGAACGATTAAGATCTTTTGACGTGTACACGAAAGCATCTCGGCGCATTAAATATTTTTAATCGGTGAGCGCATTTGTGTCAGTATCAAGAATTAATGTCCTTTATAATACGACATAGCTATCTTCTGTCTTTAAAAACATGTTTTCGCAAAGTAATTTGCTTCAACTTTTCAAAGGCCGCGTATAATTCTTTCATCGACAATACTAAGAACAAGTTGTCAAACACACGGTAATAAGCATACGAATATATTCATATGTGCGTGTGGTGACTTTTAAAATTCTTTCAAGCGCTGTGAAGATTCATGTCTCATAACTAGTATCGACGAGATTCTTTTTGCGTTTAAATCTTTACCTACGACATTAGTGCTAATATGTTACGATAAAACTTCAGCAAGCGTGTCGGCCGCAAAATGTCATAACCAAGGACATTTTTCTCGGTCGATGTGATATATGTGACTCGCGTATCTTTCTCGCGGATATAAATATTGGAACCTCCAATCAGACTTTGATCTATTCTTTATGTAACATCTTACTTGACTTATACTTTTTTCCCTAATTATATGAAATATTATACGCACAATCAATAGATTATATTATATTTAGTTAAAATTATATACTATTTATAAAGAAGTAAAATGCTTTAGTTAATTATATTTGACAAAATGAAAATTAAAATGCGATTGAAACTTTTTTTGGTATGGTTGTATCATGATATGATTGTATTAAAATGTCCAAGGAAATAACTTAATACCGGCGACATTAAAATATCTTTTCGTAAATCTTTCGATTTATTTTCACAAAGAAAATATTATATAGCAGTCTACTGCATGCTTCGCACTCTCACATAATGAGCTTCAGACAGCAGAACTGTCTCATTCGTAAGGCGACACTAATTACAGTCTAATTAGTAAGCTCGCGCGATAGGAAGGTCGTTGCGTTTCTCGAGATATTATGTCATCATGTGATCTAAGATGCTTCATCGATTTTTCTTTTTACATCGAACATTAATCTGGTTTAATAAAATTTTTCAAGCACATTTGAAATATAGTCAGAAATTAAAGATAATCAGAATAAAAAAGAACTTTTATAGTATTTTTTATCTTCAAAATCGGTATTGTTTTTTAAGAGGCACAATTTGAAGTACGTCTGTTGCTATAATACCGTTAGATAAACTTTGCTATGGAATATCGGAATTTCAACTTTTTGCGTTGCAATCTTTTTTCACACGATGACAGAACAGAAAATCGTTGTACACTAGTGTCACGCTTGGAAAAGTAAGCTGCAAGGAGATGTTTGTTAATCCAGATAAAATCGCTCTTGCGTCAACGCGATCGACCGGAAAAAGTGAGATTTATTGTCGAACAATCGTCCAACAGCAGCATCATCAGTAAATAAGAGAAGAGAAAGAATTCTCAAGGAGAGAGAATTTTTATGATTATACAATTATTAATTATATTTTTGTAATTATTAAGAGTTATTTAGGCACTCAAATACGTCATGTTCGTCTATTTTTAGCATTTTAACAATAGAAACTTAGCAGAATATAATCAACTGAATTCATGACGATCAATTATCTAATAGAGGCATTTAACAAGGTAAACACACATGTCAATTTCACGTCAAGGCTAAAAACGCTATCTTAATGGTGTTTTTTCCTTTTCTGAAATATATTTAGAAGTCGCTCTGAATCACCTAGAAATTATCAGACAGCTTGACATTGAAGCAGGTCAGTCTCAAGTAATGATTCTAACGGGGTCTCGGTCTAGGCAGCGGTTGTATCTGCTGCTGCTGTTGATGATGATGAGGGTATCCTCCCCTCGAATTCGAAGCCTGCGTCCGCTCCGATCCTTCATTGAGGCTCAATCCGGCGACCAGCTGAGCGATCTCACGATCCTTCTTCTCCTCTTTCGGCACCGCATTGCCGTTCTGGGCGCTAAAGCCCAAGGAGGCCAGGCTACCGTGACTCCTGCTCCGATGTTCGGCACGGATGCTGTAAGAAAAGGCTCTTTCGTTCAGATGACCCTTCCGCCGATATATGCCAGTACCAAAGCGAGATTCATTCTCCGGACTGTCCGCTTGCCGGGCGGTTTCCGGCGCGGTAAGATCGGCGTGAGAGGCAGCTAATCTTTTGGACGTGCTTAAGGTCGAGTTATCTGTCTCCGGGTGTCTTCTGCCTCTGTTTCCGGCAGTACCATACGTGCCTGCCGGATAAATAGCCGCTGTCGGTGTTGCGGATGGTGGTACTACCGGTAAAGGAGCGTAGATCGGTACTATGGGTGTCGCAGCCGGAATCGGTCTCATACGCGGATGATGATGACTCTTGCGCGGCAAGGTGGCTGCTGGTACCAAAAGCACCGGTGTCGGTCTAGCCAGAGTACCGGCGACGGATCGACTACTGGGTGGTAGCGGATGAGGATGGTAGTGCTGCTGCCTGATGGGATGACCTAGAGTGTGATGCCCGTGGCCATTGGCATATATGCCTTGATGGAGCTGATGATGGAGAAATTGCTGCTGCTGTTGATGCTGCTGTTGATGCTGCTGCAATGCATCCTCATGCAACGAACGAGTCTTCATTTTCTTCAGTTTCTTATTAGCTTTTCGTCGCGCGGAGGAAGAGGAGGATTCATCCAGCAATAACGGTTGCGCAGGAGGGGGTGGCGGTGGTGGCGGCGGTGGAGGAGCGATCAATTGGCGCGGCCTGGATCCCTTAGTGCTTCGCAGGGTGCCTTGTTCCTGATAAAGAGCATCAACTTCATCGCGACCCCTCGCCCAGACCTTGTGATTCTCATCGCCGTTATACAGGCTTAGATCGTCGGTTGACGTCGTATCTAAACGAGTCGGTTGAGGACTGTCTAGAGTGGTGCTCGAGCCGCCTAGAGTATGGTATAGACTGTTGTTTGATTGTTGATGACCCGTGGTGACTCCGTTAGTCATCGCCGACGACGGTTCCAGGCCTTTTGCGTAGCTACTGTCGGCGTAAGCGTGGAAGCAACACCTTACCAGGGCGTTGGCCGCCATGTCTCGCTTGCAGATAAACGCGTGACATTCGAGGACCTTGATGCCGGTTGTTCTTCGTAATACGGCGGCAAACAAGGGTGGATGATTGGCGCTGGGTGTTCGCGCAAACGGCGAATCCAACGGCAGGAACCGCGTACTGGACGAATCGCTGTTTCCACCTTTGACATGTCTGACCGCGGCGCAGTAATGAAGCGCTTCGATAGGAAAGAACCGCGTGACCTTCTTACGATGTTCGTCGACGTTCTCCAACAGTAAACCGTTGCTCCAAACGCTTAGCCAGGAATCGATTCCGCGTGCGCCCAGCGCACCCTGCTCCGGATAAAGCTCTCTTAAAGGTTCTTGGACGCCCAGTAGACCCTCTTTGCTCGCGTGAGGTACCGAGCTACCTAGATAGAGTACTCTGCATCGACAATACGGTGTCGCCGTATCCTGATTAGCTCCCCTCATTTTTAATTCGACTCGTAATTTAGCGATAAAAAAATTACGATGAAAATCTATTGTATTAATAATCCGTCTTAGAAATTACATATATACAAAATTCGTTTGACTCTGTATACGAAACTTCGGCAAAAAGCTTGTTCAACAAATTATTTTATGTAACTAAGACGCGCATTGTTATGCAGAAGCGATATTTGATGAAGCAGAGCTGCTTTGAATGGAGAAACTTTTCGGAGATTTCAATGCGAGATACGTTGGTCTCACGATAAGCATCGATCTTCTCAATGGTGGCAACGACATCCGAAGATACGAATCTTCTTGAACGTTAATTACCAACTGGCGAATTCCTTCTCACGCGCGTTGCCGAGTCGCGGACGTGACTCAGAAACTTATTGAGTGTACGCGAGGCATGCGACACGTTCACGGCAGCGAACAACACGAGACTCCGCCCGGTAACACTCCCCGCAACCGATTACGTAGTAATCCGCTGCTTTCCAAAGGCAGACAGAGGCCGCATATGCGATGTGTTCGCAGCACGATGTTGCAAAATATGCTGCGCGCAGCAACGGCGAGAGGAACTCGGCGGATATTTCGCAGCAGCTGTAGCCGCTCGCTCGAGATCGCGTCAAGCTATTATGGCCGCCTTCTTGCGAGTACCCCTACCAGTATCGAACTTCCTTTGCTCTCTCTCTCTCTCTCTCTCTCTCTTTCTTTCTCTTTTCTTTTCTCTCGTTATCTCTGTCTGACTCTATCTTTCCGTCTCTTCTTCGCTTTCCTTCCCTTTGTCCTTCTACCTTCTACACGTCCCCTTTGCTCTCTCTCTTTCTCTCTCTCTCTCTCTCTCTCTTTCTTTCTCTTTTCTTTTCTCTCGTTATCTCTGTCTGACTCTATCTTTCCGTCTCTTCTTCGCTTTCCTTCCCTTTGTCCTTCTACCTTCTACACGTCCCCCTTCCTCGTTCTTCGTCTCTGTCGTTTCCTTTCAATTCGCTCTAGGCTTTTCTATCCCTCTCCTCGTTACCAGAGTCGGAGCCTCACTGGTATGCGGCGCAGTGGCGTCGCACATCAAGTTCCTCACCAGCGCACCTCCACGTGTACCTACTGTCATACACGCACACTCGGTATATGCATACACTCGCGCGGCCAGCTCGACGCAAACACTTTTAAACGGAGAAAATAGCCGAATGATGCCCGGCGGCGAGGATTTTAACGACTATCTTTGCAGGTCGTGTGTTGGTGTTTGTGGAATCCAGAGGCGCGGCCGTAGGCGTCAGCCGCGTGAACCACTGTACCAGGACCGGTGAGTTTCATCGGGGTTCCTTGCGTGGAATCGGCGAAAATGGCGCAGCCTGCTCTCATTCGACTATCGATTCGATGCATTCGAGTGACCAATGTCTCGTGTGCGAGAACAACTAATGGCTCAAGAAAGAGCGATGCAAACGTGACTTCAAGATCGACATTGAAACATCGTCGTTGGGAGTTGTATATTCACCGTTTTACGCTCGCGCACGCGCGCGCGCGTACACGTACACCCTCACACACACACGCACGGGTGATCTCGAGCGAAGCAGCGAAGCACTACCCGCCAGTGCGTTCGTCTTTGGACTGAGAACTGGTGGAAGGCGTGAGACTTCGTGACTGAGCCCCACTCCATTTTACTCCAAGATCCCACTCTCTTCCATTGGTTTTTTCATCGTTGGGTTACTCTCTAGGTTCTGATGGTGTCACCGTATTTACCTTTTCGACGGCGAGCACATTGCCATTCACGGGGGTAGTGGAAATTGCGTCGAGGAAAATGGACATTCTTCGATTCGATTTTACGTAGGCACGTTAACGATACTTCCCCTTTTCTGCGAATGACGCAACGCGTTGTTTTGCGTCAATACGTTGACTCGAGAGAATATTTTGAATCGTACGCATCCTGAGAGAGCTGAGTTTTCAACGCTGTCAATGTTATAACATCTCTCAGAAATATAACGTTATAATTATAAATGTGTTGAGATGCGTAGAAGTAAAATCGTGATATAAATTTTAATTATTACAGTATGTCTAATAACGAAAAGGTAAAACGATATAGTTTTGTGCATGCATGTAATATCTTTGTATATTTATCGCTTATCAGAGATGTCTGCGGAGTTGAACACTTTGTGGCGTGCGGTTTGTCAGCTGCATATATGTATACGTTGCCCTTTATAGGTCAAAGATTGCGTAGGTATCGTGAAGGAGAAGCTCCGGCGCACGTTTTTCACACACGAGTCGCCAGAGCACGGGAAGCGGATGATTCTCTTTTGACGAGAAGGATTTGAGGTCTCCAGGTCGCTCTTTATATCGACGAAGCAGAACATGGCCACGAAGGCGAAATCACAAATTTGTTGCGCAACAATTTGAATTTAAATGTTTATCAAACCAGACGAATAACAAGTGAAAGAATATTCTGAACGGATCATTCTAATCTATCATCTATATTTTGATATTCTGCTTTACTATAATTAATTTTGTAAATAGTTCTATGTAAAAAGTATCTTTTTTAATAAATCGACGAATGTAGAATTTTCTACATTTTTAACTACAGAATATTTTCAAAATACACGCAAATAGGAATAATAATTCTATTTCCGCAAAATAATTAAAATTAGATGTAAATTCTTTTTCTCTTTCTTTTCTTAATTAATTATTACATAACCATATATCATCTATTCGAAGAACAAGATTTTGCTTCGATATCTTGATACCACATGTCATTCTTTTCCAATTGCGCTTTTTATACCGGTATAAGCTGTTATGTCGCAGGAACGATATATATTTCTCGCATAATTATTCGTTTTTATCGTATAAAAATGAAACGACGACGAAGACATTAACAAGTTTTCCATGCAATTAACCGCGGGTCGACAGAAAGACGAGAAAATCCGGTAGTGGGTTTGTGTCGCGAGCGTGAAATCGCGGAGACGCGGAATCAGGGTCGCGTGACCGGAACCCTGACCGTGGCCCAATGTCGACATTTTTCAGTGGGAATTCTTCTGGAATCTTTTCGCACAACTGACATATTTAGAAGCAGAGCGAATACGACGGAGTCATTTCCGTTCGACATGAAACATACGAATTAACTTGAATACTGTTGCATATAACTGTATTACGATTTTATGGCGATGTAAAAATGCAAACTTGAAATCCGAGAGATCAAAAATTTCCTGCTTTGCATTCTTTGAAATCTATTTTTGGGAGACCAAAAGAGATTCTAGAAAATTTAAATATTGAGTAAAAATTGGAGAATGTAAATTTTGTAAATAGTTTATGAAGACTATTCATTTTATCTCATTTCATGATCTTTTTTGGATATGGATATTCTTTGGATTTGGATATATCTATTTTTATTTCCCTTGTTGTATCACCGAGATGATGCACTTTTTACTAAAAAAAATTAGAAACAAAGATCCTCAAATATCTGCCGTATTTCTTTGAAAGTATCCGAAAAAAAGGAATGGGCCGAAATGGCTGAGCAGTATGCAAATTGATTCTATTCGGAATCTTTCAAATATATATTTCGCGATTCAGGAATGTCGACCTTCGACGTTTCTTCGATATACCTCGAAGGACGACTGGTGCGTACAATTTAGAATCTGCGATGCATAAATCACAACTCTTAAATTATGATAAATATCTTAGCGAGCCTATAATTTTGATAAAAAAATATAAATCATAATTCCTTCATAATCTCTCGAAATGCTTGGAGTAGAAATTTGCATACATAAAAAAAAGCATTTGTCTGAAACTGTTGAACGAAAATCGATCGTGCAGTGGGTTAGTGGGTCATCGTCACGTTAATTACAAAGACTCCAAACGCTGTGTACAGTGCAATCACCTCTGTCCAGGAATCTTTTCCAATCCCCTCTTTTCAAGTGCGTCACGCATCCCCTTTCTGCGCGACATCTTGAATACATGTTCGACGACGTTTGCTCGTGACTGACTCGTTGATTGATAATGCTATTTTTTTGTGTAATGTTAAACCGTTATATACTACGATATAATACAAATGAATCTCTCGTTTAAAAGTTAAAAAAGCATAACTTCAATATCTTACCGTTTTTCTAATGGAAGTTCCGTCTGGAAATATTAAAAACCTCTAAATAAAATTTGTAAGACAATATAAGAGGCAAAGAAATATTCAGTAGCAATTATAAATTAATTTTAATTCTTATGGAAAAAGTAACTTTTGATTTCTGCGCAAAGCAAAAAAGAAATTAAAAAATTCTTTTAAGTTTCTTTAAACTTAATCTTATAAAATTATGATTAATCTGATAAAATTACGATTTTTAATATTGAGCTATTTGAAATATTTGTAGCAAACATATCACGTTCTTTATTATTTGTGTCAATCTTTGTAGAGGTATCGCTTGTTTTAAAATGTAAGTAGTGTTTGCAAAGGCTCCTAAAGTTTCCAAGCAGGGACCATTCCGATAATGTTTGTGCATCTCAGGTTTATTCTTGGGACGGATAATCCTCAGATAGCAGGCTAGTCAGACACATCTTGACAAAGTGCTTTGAACCCGATATGGCGTGGTCGGACCAAGAAAACATGCCGTTATGCCGAAGACTGTAATGGCTTTCTAACAGACAGCCAGACGGACAATTCGAAAGTTTTATGCAAATAGAGATGATGGTCTTCTCGCGCGCGCTTGTAAAAATCTATAAAATGTGCAACCGGTATTTGTCGACCCGGCACAAATATCCGCACAAATATGTCGCCGCTGCCGTCTCGTCGAGGCGAGGTACTTTCTTTCACATGTAATTGTTTTCCGCATGCCTAGAACTTGCACGATGCGTAAATGACGACGCCGGCGCGATTAAGTCGCGAGAAAGTTTAGTGAAACGTTGAGGAAAAGACGATTAAGCGTGGCAAATTGCTTGAAAGCCAACATTAATTAGTAATCCTAACCGGAAACTTTGCAAATCTATGCAAAGTTTCTATTTACAGTTTGTCATGTATACATTGTGAATTTACTTGTCAGATATTGAGAGTCAAATAAAAAATATCTTTTATAGAAGATTATTATATGTATATAGAGAGAAATGCTGCGATACTAGATTGCGTTTTATCATTTCGCTTAGACTTCAATTTGTATGAACAGTTATGCTTTAAGTATTTTTACGTCTATCAATTCACACGGTCGATTGCATTTGTGCTGTTCATTTGCCGATAGCGCGACAGAGCATTGAAGTCACCGGATTGAATAAAATAATGGGAGATATAAATACGGGAGATGTGCGAGTGAGCGCCACTGTGCCACAATCGTGATGATTCACTTTTACTGATTAAAATGATGATTAAATCCCTTGAAACATTGCAAATATTCCGCGTTACAAGTTTAACGACAATTTGACAATAGCATTTCTGACATATTACGATATATAATAGTTGTGAGTTATTAAGATTTTTGTTAGATATAATTAAAAGAAATTTAAATAGCTATATAAAATAAAATAATATAATTATATCAAAAAATATAATAATATGTTAAGAGTGTGTGTGTTTCAAAGATGCTCACAAATTTCGATTAAGTAAGGTGGAACTTGATCAAATGCAAATATTATGCGTGCCAAGACAATCATGTAGAAAAAGCTTAAAAATTCCTTCTCGTACGCGCAATGGGAGCAACGGCACTTCCGTCACGTAACATCCGCCTTTCCATCACGTACTTTTGACTTTATAGATAGGCACGAGGTCAGGGCTTATCGTGCTTATTGATGGTGAGTCGGAGCACGAAGCTAAGTCAAGTCATGTTATTTGCGCCAAAAATAAATCTCTATTCAAAATTAACAATTATGTTCAATTGTTATCTATATATTTATATATTTTTCTCTTTTTACTCATTAAATTTATGTCCAGAAAGCTTTCAAGGAAAAATTTCTGTAAAAAAACAATATCAAACATTGAACTCATGATAAATTGCGAATCGAGTGAAAAACTCGAGATATTTTGCAACTTTCTTGTGCTGCAAATACAAAGGGTAATGTAAGATCAAATGATACATGAGTTTAGAGCGCGGAGTATAGAATGCCTGGCATTTAACTAGGATCTATCGCGTGCGCATGAGTATAAAGGCCCTGAGGCCCGTGAGACCCCTATAACAGGTCACTGCCATCGAGAGAAGCGAGCAGACAGGTTCGAAGCACTGAATCCCTTTACGGGAGAAGGGAAGCCTGTTTATCCGTCCTGCATTTACACGCGCATTAGTGACATGCACGTGTGCCATTCGAATAACCGTGGATAAACGACGATCTAGTGTCATAAAATCATTTAAATATGTTAGAAAGAATCTATTTGTATATTTGTTTAATACACGAGCCCTCCCTCTCCCCCCTTACTCCTCTGTCTCTCGTTACTTTTGTATTCAAAAGATGCGAAACGGACGTGCTTTTGTGAGAATCCACTTTTAGACGCGCGGTAACGCAACGGTAATCGAATTTCTGAATTACATTATATAAGCGGCGTGCGAATTACGTTACAAGAGAACGACACGAACACTTTGCTCTCAGTACCGTTGCCAGTAACGGTCACCCGGTATATGCCCTGCTCGAGGATGGAGTAATGTTCCGCACGATTGCAGGTCTTCATCAGCGGGAGGAGGAACGAGACAGCGACAATTCTACGCGTCTTTTATTGTTAATCTCTTCGCTTTACCTTTGCGAAACTGCAATCGAGGATGATTACGGTTTACGAAACTTCTCAGAAGCATTATTGTAAAGAGAATTTGCGCGTTTGTCAAAGGTATATGGAGATTGAATTGTGACGGATGACAGAAAATGCGAGTGAAAAATAGCGGTACGAATATAAATTACGAACATTAAGATATGTTCATCGTTATGTCTCGTGCGAAAAGACTTTCTCGAAATTACATTTATGCGCTTGTTGCGCTTTCCTCTGTAAACCACGATATGTATCAATTTCTTTTGTGCGAAATCGTTTCATACCGTATTTAAGAAAAATTTCTCCTCTTAACGCTGAAAGTTGATCAACACGGACATCTTTGACTGTTATTTCTCTGTCAACATATTTTTTACACATACATATAGATTTATGTATTACCTTTATACTCTCTAGGAATATCTATGGAAATTGCTTTGGAATAAATTAATACATTGCAATTATGTATCAATTAATAAATGCAATCTAATGAATAATAACAATAACACACAAGTCTATAATATTTTACATATGATTAATATAATTTATCAAATCGCGAAAGCAGTTAATAATATTTACAGGCTTTGTTATTACATTTCCTGTAGCCTTGTAATATAATAATTAATTTAATTTTTTAACAAAACAGAATTATATCAAAAAGTGGACAGTAGCAATCACATAAGTTTATATTTTTTATAAGATAAGAAAAACTATCTATTTATTTGTGTTATTCGCAAAAGAATTTCAAATATTGAAACTATATCTGCTCAGATCATTTCCTGCTTTACGTCAATGATACGCAAATAATTTTTTATCGCTAACCGGTTTGCGATAAGTCTCTCTGCAATTGAGTAGATATGCGTACTATGTTTTATCAATTTTCGATGCCGTGTATAAGCTGCTAATTTATTTCCGTGATAAACACTAACGTTAAATGCGTCTGAACTATTTTATTGCACTGGAATATTACAAAGTGCTATACTATACGCACGTCATTTATTCGTTTTTACACTATATAATAAAACTTTAATAAAATGCAATTAAAAAATCCCAAATTAAAAAAAAAATATTTCTCCGGAATATGAAAATTTGGCGTATATATATCATAGTAATAATTTATAATTTAAACTACTTCTATAATATAATATTTTGCGTATATGTATGTCAGTAGGTAAAATATTTCGGCTGCGAATTATTACACTAACATGGTATACGGCCTTGGTGACGTAAACAATAGCATCCTAATGTTTACGTGTTACGGCTTTGTTATCATTCATACGGCGACACTCGAGCAGTAAAAAGTAGTAGTGCGAAATGCTTTTTATATTATCAAATTCCTTTTCTAAACGCGATCGCGACTAGTATCAACACATAATTTGCTATTATCTTAATTATTACAATTAACATTTAATTTACTTTTGATAAACGACATGAAACTGTGTCGCAACAATAATAAAGTGCGTATTTCGTGTGATTGTTCCGCGATCGAAAGTGCAAGGTGTCTCGCGATCGTTACGTATACGACTAATTATAATTAATCGTGTTTTTGCGAGTGAGTGTGAGTGCCACGAGGAAACAGCAAAGAATGAGCAAGAGAAGAAAAGGAGGTTTGGGCGACGGACGGATCAATAATATGCGGAAAATAATTTATAAATTATTTATCATTTATATCATATTTAAAGTAGACATATTGCTTTTTTTCATTTCCTTAGCATCGCGGGAAAAAGGCAACAATATCTGCGAGTATCGATTTAACATGCCTTTTGTAAGAGTGGAATATTATATAATTATCTTAAAAATTTTTTCATTTAAATATAATCATTATCAATATAAATTTAAACTTTTTAAACAATATAAATTTAAACGCAGCCTGAGGGCAGCCTCTTCCTGGAAGTTGAAGAGATCATTTCTTCCGTCATGCTTGTGTCAAAATTTCACCAGATACATCTCGTGTGTAAATGTCACGAGCGCAGAATTCTCTGAATTTATTTAATAATAACTGAATATCTTCTTTACGTAACTGCTGATATTACTGCGGAAATATATGATTGCGGAATAAATAAAACGGAGCCATATACGCACTTCTTCTAGAATAAGAAGCTTTGTCGTACAGCTTAAAAATTAAAATGTGTTATCTTAATACAGTGGATAGAAACTTATATATTTAATGAGAGAAAAAGGTTTAATCCATTTCTTTAATATTGCATAAAAAATGAAACTTTTACAATTATTAATGCGCATTTAACTTATTAATAAGATATATTTTATGGCAAAGAGATATGCATTTACTGACAACTTTCTATCAATAAAAGAAGGAATTTTTATATAATAACCGATTTTTTTGATGAATATATTTAATGTATATAGATAAATTTCGATTACGTAAATAAAATATATTTCGTGAAAGAATATATCTCTAAACATATAAAATATTTTTTCTAAGTTTGTGTTCAAATTTATTTAAACGTAAATTTATTTCTGGCAATTATATGCTTGTGTGTGTGATGTTCGATAACTTGGATTAATCAGAGGAGGAAATAAATAATACGAGAACTTGTTATTATAATTATTATTGGTACTGTTATTATCAATATTATTATGTTGTTACTATTATTATTATATTGTTAGTGTGGCATCTGACGCGTAACAAGATAGCATGTACATATGTTGGAATTGTGTTGCATTTCGCTATTAATTAGAACCATTTTGTTAACGAGATCCTCTGTTTATACTCGATAACAACGATACACAAAATCATAATTAGATTCATTAAAAGTGTGATACATATACAAGCTTCATTTACTCTCGTTACATACATATACAATCTTTAATTTGCATTGACTGTTCAGTAGCATAATCAAATCGTTATAGATGCATATCTGCAATTAATTTTAAAATCTGAAAAATTGTTATATCAAGTTTAATAAGAGTATTTAATAAGTATTACGAGTAATATTTAGTTTACCAACAATGGATTATATCGTATTAAATTATTCGTTTTTGCAGCCTTTAATTATGTGAGCAATCGACGGTGACGAATGATATTAATATTAATTAAAAATTTACTTCCTTGTTATTTGGCCTCCAAAAATCGAAAAATAGAAAATATCCATATCTCGCAGATCTTCCATCTCCTTCCTCCTCCCTCATTTTATGGGGCAGGATAAAGGCCATTATAACCACGAGCATACTGAACGGTCAAGGCGCAATACACGAACAGTATGATATAACGCGACATGTCGATTAATTAAATAATTCATCAATTAACAAAAATTAATGCATCAATAGGGATGGAGCGCGGCCAGACCGAGTCTCGGCGGCTCGGCATAGCTGTGACGGTATCTACCAGGTGTCGGGATCATCTCTAACGCAGGTCTGGCACTTTCGCGGTCAAGTCCGGGGTATCTTTCATGCTCCGACAGCTCCTGATAAGTCGCGCTCCTCGTCCGCAGCTTGTCACGCAATTCTCGCGAGTGCTGCATATGTTCTCGAAACTCTCGCACCTGCTTGGTGGGACAAGATACGACACGTTGTAATTTTAAGATTATATGTACACAGTTAGTGTATGCACTAAATATACAATTTTTTTTAATCGCAAACGCACTACTCTTACTTCTCTCTGATCGATGGGATTCCTTTGATCTCTGAAATCCCTGCCGATCGCCGGATTTTCATAGAAGCTTCTCGGTCGTGGCCTCGAAATCTCCGGTTCAGATGAACGTTCATTTGCATAATGATGAGTCCTGGGTCGCGATCTGCCCTTATAAGACACACCATTTTCACGATCCAGCGCGTCCGGCTGATTTCGTCTCATTACATGATCATGTGAAGACATGGAGTGCATGCTCGTCGGATATTGACGACCGGATCGATCCTCGTGGACTTGTCTGGCCGATTCGACCCTGTTAAACACAACAAATCATTATAATATAATCATTTAATAAAGAATTATTTCTATACAGAAACTTTGAATATAATCAGGATATTATTTCACGATATTATCAACTTAGAAACTGATTCAAAACATTATATTCCTGAATATTTTTCTTTTTATATATATAAAATGAGAGTTTAAAAGAAATTTTCTATGAAAAATTTCGCGAAATGTGGACATGCAGGATGTCGATGCTAACTGCAATTTCTATAAAACAAATGTATCGAGATCTGCGCCTTCATAAATCTTTCTTACGGGAATGCGTTTGATCGGTGAAAATCGTTACTCGAAACCTGTTCGAGTATGGAAAGCTGAGCAGAACCGTATATGTACAAAACGAAAAGCTTGACAACATGTCGATGTCGCGTTTAGATCTCTGGACTGATACTCTCGATAACATTACGTTACGACTTTTACTCCTTATCGATCCGATTAATGCTGCTCAGTGTTTTCCACAAAAACATGCTCGCGACATACTAAATATTATACTATGGAATAAATTTGTTTTCTGGCACAAGATAAATCTTTTTCTCTGTTTATGTTAGCTATAATTTTTATTACACAATTTTATAACAGGAAACTGTTAGTAATATTCATAAAAACAACATGTTTTCTCCATTTCTCTCTAGGATCTCTCTCACACCTGTGTACAGGATGATGCTCGATGTCTCTCTGTTTGGAGAAAACGGGTCTGGCGATGGCCTCCCTCTCCATAGCCCTAAACATTTCCTTGGCATCTTGGAACCTTTCTCTGGGACTGGTCACCTCGCCGGGATTGACCCTCGGTTGATATTGAGGACTCGGCGATCGCTGTCTAAACTCCGCCGCTCGTCGATTCCTGTTACAGTTGGGCGAAATTCCTCTGTTCGCTTGATTGGATAGTCTTTCAGGGCTTCGCGGCAGTCGCGGCAACGTCAGACTCGATGCAGCTGTTTCCACTTCCGGCAAATAATCATTCTCCTCGTTTAGCGCACCCCAATCGTCATCTAAAAATAATTAATATGTAAATTGGAATTACTAATCTTAATTTCAGTCTATACATTATATAATAAATATTCCCCCTATTTTTAAGATCAATGTCTTATAGTTCACTAAGATAAAAAATCGACATTTTGAAATCGTAAAAGTATATAATTTTGATCTTGTCATATCTGATATATCTTTATGAAAGATAGTGAAACAATATTTCACGAAAGACAATAGAAATAGGGCAATAAACGTCGAAATATGATTGCGTGCGAATTTCGTCAAGCGCGGCGGTTTTGCTTCTCCATTGATTTGTAAAAAATCGATCGGCGGTAATTCTCGTGGAATCTGGCATCTTGATGAAGTCAGAAAGATTTAAAGAGCGGTAGCGAGCTAAGAGGACACAGAGGAGGCGGAGGAGGATGGAGCACAGATGAGGCTCGAAAAGACACGAGGAGGTTGAGAGGTGCCTCGGGCTGTGGGCCGAGAATGCGGAACCTTATTCCGCAACGTACAACGGCCTCCCACGAGGTCGACTCGTGCACGAATTTATGTGTATCCGCGCCGCCGCTCGCCGTCATCAAGACAGCGTCTCATCATCATCATTATCATCATCATCATCAGCATGACTATCATTATCCGTTGCCGTAAACAACGACGACACGGAGCGGCGCTCTCGGCCTCCGTCTTCCCTCGGCCGCGTCGTGGAAACGCGCATTCGGAGAAGAACTCCTTTACGCAACGATCCGCCGTAGAGAGGCGAAGTGCCGTTACTGTATTAAGTAAGAATTGAAGGGATGAAATCAATTACATGGATCGCGTCTCCGCCATCGCGGAATCATTCGCGCACTTTCGGTATTTCGATTGTGTCTGCCGAGACAATGTATGATTATAACAATTATTACGCGTATTATTTATTACCATATAATCATTAAAATTGCATATTAATCTATAAAATTGCGTCTGCAGCTAATGAGATACGATCCTTATCTATTAATTCCATCATTTATATCGATAACGATTCTAGACAGCGTAACGGCATACATTTCGTGGAGATATTAAATCTCCATATACGCAATATATATATATATATATATATATATATATATATATAAGACATAGATGACCGCGTAATTGATTAACACCGATGTAAAGGACCTGGTTAAAAAGGAGCATGTAAGTAAGATCTCTCTTCCCTCTCTCTTCATTATTCATGTTTTTCGTGTTGTGACCGATTCTTTTTAACACAACTCGAATCTTTGCAATCTTGCGCGTCATACCTATGAAATTAAAAAAGTAATGGTTACATCAAATAGTTGGATCGTTACTCCGATATTAAAATTTTACTTTAACATATTATTTGTTGCCAATTGTGATTTATAACGCAAGAATCTTTTTAACATCGCTAACGATAAACCTATACGAATATTCAACATTTTCAATTTGCGTATTAATTGAAACCGCGGTTTGTAAAATGCCTAATTTTTGTGCAAAATCTGGGCGCTAATTGGCGATTGGATGGTTTTTCGCGACCGTACATCGTTCTGGAGGCAGCTGAGATACATGCACCCGTCGTAGACCGTGGTACCTGCCGCTGACACGACAACGTCCTAACGGTATTCTTCTTCCACTGTAACAGGTGCTCAATATAATCTCTTTCTCTCTCTCTCTCTCTCTTTCTTTCGCGTATGAGCTTGATGTCATGCCACGTGTATCTACCGGTACACACGATGCGATGAGGGTATCTTTTTTTTCTCTCTTCTTCACCTCGAAATTTATTCGGCGACGTTATATGGGTCAGTCGTCCGTTAAAAAACACGTTTCTCACGCGAAGAAGATACGTCCCAGAAGACGAGCTTCTCGGCTTTGGATCACTGATATACGTGTATTGCGTGCATATACTTAATATGCATTCTATCGGTCCGCTTTGTATGAAAGATAAAGTAAGTAGGATGAGTTCATTCGCGAGGCTGTATGAGTGCCAATAAAGCATCTACATATACTGAGAGAGAGAGAGAGAGAGAGAGAGAGAGAGAGAGAGAGAGAGAGAGAACCGCCGTTATATACATATAGTCTTCTCTCTATTACTTTGCGCGTCCCCGTTTCTAAAAGGTATATTCTACACGAAATAAATTTCTCTTAATTGGATCGTGAGTTTTTAGAAGCTTCCTCCTTCATCAGATACGGTTTGTTATCTGCGGTCGGTTCTTTCATTTTGACAGCTTTAATCGCAGGGAGATTCAATCGCAAATCATGGAAATCTTAAACGGCCGATGTAATTATATATATAAAGAAAGAGAGAAAGAAAGAGAGCACGAATAGATTATTAATTTACAAAACGCGGTTTGTTCTGCGTAACGTCAATTTTCCTGTATGAGTTTTCGTCGCGCGATAAATCGACTTTCAAAGGATGCGATTTCGCACGTTTCCCTCGCAACGATGCACGATACGTGCAGGCATCATGCAAATGCGACGTTTTCGGGTTCGACCCGGGGTGAAAGTGGACAATTTTATTGTTAGCGAGAGCGCGTGATTTATGACAAATGAGGTCGAACTTGATTTCGTATTCAATATGAGGATGACTCGATGATGGAACAGCGGTATAAAAAGAAAGAAAAAAGCGAACGTGTTTAAAGACGACGAGAAACGATTTTTCGTAGCTATCGGCAACTGGGTTACGGGGTCGTACGGTTCGCCACTGCCCAGTTTTCTACGAGAGCCGATAAGATTCGAGCCGACACGCACGGACACCTGTTTCGTGAGTAGAAAGCGCCCAAATTTTTGTCATCCGGTATAAATCTTTGACCGCGGAATTTATACATTTCCACTTTTATGCGCAGGAAACGTTGCGAAAGATTTGTTTAAAACTGCTATCTCCGATAGGCAATAATATTTTCACGAAAAGATGAAGAAATTCATCGATTAATTTACTTTCTTTTTCTAATCAGGATAACAACACACACAAATATATAGTTACCTTAATAATTTTTTATGTAGCAATTTTTTTACAACGAGATATTAATTTTCTATATTTATTGTGCTATTAAAAACTAATTTCATCGATCACGGTAGTTCTCTTCGCTTCGAGAAGATTGATTATTGGGTGCGCAATCATTTCCTGAGACGGATCGCGAAAAGAAGAAGCGATGACTTTCACTTTCATGTAACGTCCAGCATCGTCTTGCATTATCGCTTAACCGACGTAATGATGCGTCCAGTCGATAGTAGAGATTATTCTAAAAACTTTCCATTTTGCAATTAGCCGCGAATTGCTTAACAACTAGAAATATTTAGCGCGTCCGTTAAATATTTACATAACCACGATCCTTTTTTTGTTCCTGTCGATCTAACTTTGTCTTTAAATTTCGATATTTTATATCGTAAAATTTCTGGATCTTTAAATATAACTTGAACAAGTTACTCAACTTTCAGAATTTAACGGCTATCTCTTACAAGCCAATAAATTTAATTACTATAGAGAATTGACGTGGTATAAACTTTCCATTAAGTATGTCAAATAAGAAATACGTACGGATCGAAATAGCAATTTCGTGATAATCCGTGCTTACGTCCTGAAAACCTATTTTCACGGTCGTGTAATACCTATCTGTACAATTATTCTGAAAGAGCATATTCGCCAATAATGCAGAACTTGTATGAAACACGAGTGTAATAATCGCAGCAAGTTTCACATTTGCTAGATGCAATTGTCATGCACGCAGTCAATTTTACGCATGCTCCTCCGTTCAAGCTTTCTTACTTGAAATGGGATGTTGCATTGTAACTTGACGCAACGTCGGAGATGCGAGAATGCTCTCAGATTTTACATTGCAACGACCTACTTGCTAATTTCATACATGTGTCTTTTAATAGTAACAATAGAAATTCTAGCTTGTCGGAGAGACAAGTATCTCTGGCGTATTGCTTTGCTCGACAATTTAAAAATTGTCAAACAATATTATATAAAATTAAAAACTCTGTAAATTTATATAAATCTTACGAACAAAATGATGCTTGAATTTAATTATATGTAGAACAAAGAATTAATTTTTTATGAAATAATAAATTATTAAAAACACGAAAAAATAAGTTGGAAATGCTTAAAATCAGAATACATTCAAAAAAGATGAAATATTTCAAGAATTCAGATACAACTCTCGCGTACGAACTTTATACGACAAAGATCACTCACCGGAAGAAGAATCTCTGGATGGTCTGGACGGTCTCTGGCCGAGGGGATGATGCGTCTGATAAGGCGGTGGCGTTGCCGCGCTATCGGATCCTATGCCGCTGCTGGCTGCACTCCTCGTGCCACTCCTGTCAATGGCCGTGCTACCACCCACGATAGTCTGATTTAAGCAACGTCTAAACTCGATGCCGGCCAAATTGCCGCGGTGTCTGTGGACGGTGTCATAGTCGCGCGGCGGCAGTAATATCGGACCGACGTCATTGTCGTCGGAATTACCTCTGCCTGAAACACGATTGTCTGCTAGTATCCACGTTGCCTTGACACGTATTCGAACGAGCGCGAATTCTTTAGCGTTCGTTCTCTCGCGCAGTTAAAATCGTCGACTGCGAGAGTAGCGTTTGATATAAATATTAATGAAAAAGATTAAATGAAATATTCAGATGGTAACTCTTATTATGTATAATCCTCTCTCTCTCTATTTTTTTAGAAGATATAAAAAACTTCTATATAAAATTTTACACACATGTATCTCATACGATGTACGTAATATTTTTTCAAATATTCCACTTGTGCGCGCTGACATACATATAGAATTTTGTACAGCGAAATGTTAAGCGAGACTTAGAGGAGGCATTCACCTAATTTCGCCCGCAGCTCCGCGGCCAGAGACTCGTAAATGGTCGTGGTTTGGACCGGATCGTGTCTGAGCTCACCGCTGCCTTCAGAAGACTCGGACTCTCTGGTACTTCGACCGTCGCTGCCTAGATTGCTGCGGATTCTGCCTTCGCTCGCCGTGACCCTGGCCAAATTGTCGGTGTGTGACGCCAACGCTTTCAACTGGCCACCCAACAATTCGGCGGTCTCGACTGAATCGCATCTAAAATTTCCAAAAAGCAAAAGCGAAAGATAAAGAGAAGACGATAGAGAAATAAAATCTCGGAGAAATGATCTCGTCCTATCAACTTTACACTGATGCTTTTATGTGTGTGTGTGTGTGTGTGGGATTTTATTTGTTTTCACGCAGCATCGCATGAAAACTCTACCGGGTGTCTTAAAACAATTTATTACCGACAAGACAAAGATCGAATAAAGAGAAAATACGATACAAGACTTCCGTGTAGAACGTAAGACGTGTGGGATCAATCTTTATTCTGCGAAAAATGTGTGGAAAATGCACATTATATTTTTATACCTAGATGTAAACTCGCGATAAGCACGATCGGCGTATCTAATGGGAAAAAAAGATCGGCCGTTTCTTCTTATTCAGGTCATCGGTATACTTAACGAAATTCATCGCTGAATATAATTGTATATATTCATCCGAGAGCTCTCTATACTATAAAATGTTCTTTAACGGGACTTTCATTGAGCATACCAGAGAGATCGCGCGCCTTCGCGGTTACTTCGATTTAAACAATCGCTGTCGGTGCCGCGGTTCTCGCATAGAACGGCCTTTATAATCCCGTTTCTCGCTTTACAACTAGACTCATAAAATAAAATTCGAAATCACTTTCGAGATTCGAGCGATTCACAAGTACACTTGAGTGACAACCAGAAAAAAAATAATTAATTACTACGAGAAAAGATTTATTTTTAATCAATATTAAATTGTATCGAAAATATAAGTTTTCAAAGATTGATTAGTTTAATTTAATGAGTATTTTATCTCTTGTTGATTATTCATGTTAGTCCGCGGAATATTCTCTGACCTGTATGCGTGCACGTGTACAGGATTGTTTGTTGCAGGATTCGGCAGAAGGAGAGTCGCGGCTACGATGTCCTCCCGTTGCACGGCTGCCAGCACTGCGTGACCTGGTACCAAGTGTTTCACCGCCGACCTCGTCGAACCACCCGGGTGAACCGTTTGTATAATCTTTAGACCTTTGTTGCTAACCTATCAAATATAAATGCATCGCCGTTCATGTTACCTGCGTTGCGGAACGCGCGCTCGCGCGTTTCTTGCGCAAACCTTGTCTTTGTTTGCATCTCGCGAGATACATTCCACACGATCGTTTCAACATTTAATTGTATGGCACACGAGAAATAGTGGAGATATGGATTAAAACAATAAAGATATATATATATATATATATATGTATGTGTCTTTCCCTTTGAAAACAGAAATGCGTGGGATGTAATAAAAAATGTGTGTTACACGCACATGTCTACATAAAAGTAACATTGCATGTATCGGGGAGAGAGACGACGGTAAGTAATTAATTCATAATAATAAAAACAAAGTTTCTCGCGTCGCGTCGAACAGTTTTAGCTCTCTCGATTACCTCGTTCTTTATCTCGCATCCCGCACACATCCGTCCTTGTACTTAAAGAGAATTATGCGAGAGTAGATATAAGCGAGAAGGCGTGTGTACCGCGTAATTCTCTCTCTCTCTCTCTCTCTTTCTCTCTCCGCACAACGTGTTCCACTTCGCGAAAACACTTAATTACAGCGCCGTCGATCATCGCGACGATTCAAATTGCTGAAATGCTCGCGAGACCGATTATGGATATCTGCCACCTACGGACAACCCCGTAGACTTTCTCGCATCGTCCATGCCCCGCGGCCAGCGCAATTGCACTTACACAATAATTAGATGGATCTCATTTCGTAACGTGTCTTTTTCTACACGGTATGTGTACATGCCTTGCGCGGTATAATTTCGACAGAGTAGCGAACAAGCAGAGTAGAAGAGTTAAGAAAAAAAAATAAAAAAGTTTATATTTTTATCATATTTGTGTGCACGATTATATATATATTTGGCGAACAATTGTCAATGAATGATTGTCGCGAATAGATAGAGAATAGTTAGAGAATAGTTAGAGATGAAACTTAATTAGTTGTAGCAACCGTTCATGTTCCTATCGCAGACCGTTCACGCGTAATAATAATAATAGTCTTCTTTTAACAGCATGCGGTCCGGCACATCTGGCGCATTCTATAATGCAACATAGATTAAAAATACGCTAATCATTACAAAGAACCCGTTTGCTTCATTTGACGCCGTTATTAACGAGCGTTGAATTATTCTTTACACTGTTTAGGTTCGACTTGCATTTAGCGAGATTTATTACATCACGCACCGGTAGCAAATGCGATTTCTAAACGAACGAGCGTATCCTTTTTCAGACGCCACTTGATATGCATCGAGAAGCGCATGCCACGTGCTAACGTTTTTAACAGTCACGAAACACAGTTTTGGCACCACGCGTTCATTTTCTCTTTTTCCTATTCGAGGTGATATGTTAGTACTGAACTCGTTTTTATAAGATTCGGGTCAGTGAATTTATTATTATTTTTATTCGCTCCTCGAACACGTAACGTTACAGATACGTAAAGTTTCATGCGCTTTCAGAAAATAATTTCATTGTACATCTCTCCCTACTGTAACTGTCGAAAAAGAAATGTATTAAACACAAATGTGTGTATATATATATATATAAAATGTAATATTTTGTAACAAGAATAAATATTTTTTTATTAATATTAATCGAATAACCAAAAATTTTTAAATAAAAACTATTGAAATGCGTTACATGGACGACTTCTCCTATCGCAAACACGAGTTCCATTAAAATTAATGCATCTTTCTTTAGCTCTGCAATTATCGAAAATTCCCACGTTCCAATATACATCAAGGCGTCGCTAATTCGCGTCAGAAGTTCCGTTCCGTCGCGATCGATTGGACAGAAAATATGGAAGATCATTTCGAGGGAAGCAAACTGATTTGAGTGAACCTGTAGCTTAGATAAAGTTGTGATTTTTATAATCCCTGACGCCTGCATTTTTATTGCTGGGCGTGCGGATAAACAGGGATAAGAGAGAAAAAAAGGGAAGCTATACGATACGGATTGGTACAAACTCCCGGTTGCGCACGTCGTTAATTCGTTTCCCTTTAAGATATTTTCGGCCCGCATTGTCGAAACCGGATTTCAGAATGGTACCGCTCACCTGCAGTGTGACCTTGAAAGGTTCTTGAAGTCGTTCCCGCTCCAGCAGGTAAGCTATGGCACCGGGCATCGCGTCCACTCCCTTAGCCTCTCTCGCGCCAAGGTACCAGACGTAATAGAAGCTCTTCTTGACATCCTTGCTACTTCTCAGGCGTAGGGCCATCACTCACTGTGTTCGCGGAGAAATAAATCAACTTCACCATTTCGTTCGCAGGCAAGGACTCGTTATCGAGAAAACGGATTGAAACGGTAAACGCGCTGGATAATGAACGATCCGTTATTACGGACGTATTCGATATTTAATCGAAGCACTCTTTATACGAGTGCCTGCCAATTTACTTGATTTATAATCTAACAGCCTTTCTTTTATATTCAAAATAACGAATGAGAATTTCCCCTGTCGTATTTCAGTTTCTAATATAACGTATGAAAATTTAACTCACACCGCTCTTTTGCGAGATAAACAAATATAATTATACAGCATGACGATAATTTATTGCTTGATAAAAAGACACACCCAACTGATAGAATCATTGACATAAAGCGATAACATAGAATGCAAGAGCTCGTTATTCTTAATAACCGCAACAATATTTTTTATTATTATGAGTTGTGAAAAATTTTACCAATAAAATAGGAATCGGTATTAAATTACTACAAGAGCAAATAACAAAGTGCTTTTTTGCGTAATATATAACGGATCGAAAATATAACAAATTTTTTTTATATGTAATGCGAATTATTAAACGTATATTCAGGCGTGGAAGCGACTACGGAAATTGCGCGGATAACATCGTGATCGCGCAGAACATAAACAGATACAATTTCCTGCATAATTTTTATTTAATTATACACTTCATCTTTCTCTCTCTCTCTCTCTTTCTCTTTCTCTCTCGATTGAAGAAAAACGTCAATTTTCCACGAGCTAGGCTTTTACCATGTCTGCCGCGCGAGCAAGCCTGTTGGTTCATCCACTTCCTCAATTACTTTCACGCTTAAACCCGTTTCCACGTTATCCATCTCGCGGCGAATCGTTTCCCACTGATCCTTAACGACGACGGTGCTTTACAACGGAAATATTTTACCAGTTGGAAGCGTATTGATAGATATCAACTGATGAGATAGATCATAAGAATTCATATGTTCTTAACGTAAGCGCGATCTTGATGAATAACAATTTTTGGTATTCTCTATTATTGTTGTTCTTACAATAATTCTGTATAAAATATTTTTTATGTTATCAAGAGGATATCTCTCGGTTTGCTGACATTTTTTTTTTCGGTAATTCCAGATTGAATTTTGATACGCTTCATTTTCTCCTGATCTTTAAATTAACATTTGTCGGTAATATTCGTCCTTAACTACTTAAACATACTTTACACGTCTCTTTTTCATTTGATGCTACACACGCACGCTGAATTTTAAATATCCCGATTGAATCTCTTTGCACGCGTGGCTGTATTCTTTCAAAAACATCCTCAAAATATTTTTAATAATTTTGTCAACATTTTCTTTTAATAAAAGGGTATTAATTAATCTCAACATTTATACATCACGCATTTTAAAACTGATTAGTATAAAGTACAAAGAGAATTTTGTTTCAGTTGTAAAGAGAAGAGAAGACAGACCGTGTTTCTTTCGGAACATTGAGACGATCCTGGACATTTAATGATGCTCATCGCCAAGATCGATGCAAAGTTGGTAGCCCTAC